TTTGCACCTTATTTTCTACCGTGATTCCCAGTTTTGGACATAATTGTATTTTTCCAAATTATTGTGCGTTGTGCTCAGGATATCCATTTATTTATTCATGTACCTTTTAGCACTAATCCGAATTCAGAGGTTTCACAGGAAATCAGGATATCGCAATACAGCCAATAGTGTTCCAACTGTCTTGTCTTCTCTCATTACCGTGCTTGCCAGTCAATCAGGTGATAGGATAGTTTTCTTCTCTCTACCCACCTCGAACTCACGCGTACTAGCCTCAAGGTTAAACCGATCAGCCTATTGCGTCAAGGTCTTAATCTAGAGTAGACAGATCAAGGTCATAACAACTTCAGAGGTAGATTAAATTTGTTAAACCGAAAGGCCTTCTTCTCCTGACTTTCGTCAAGCGAAAACTGTTTTTGACAGCTCAAGGATTGGCTTACAATAACACCTGTGGGAGACTGATTCCCACCGTATAATCATGACAGTATGTGATGTCGGACGGTTAGTAATAATCTCGTTCGGCTAAATTCAAGGTCAAGGCGTGAGGCAGTTAATCATTGTCACTCTCTGAATGTCTACTGGAAACGGTTATTATTCTATTAGATTGTTACGGATGGAAATTTGATCCTGTCTTATTGATAATGAACCACAGTGCTTTATTTTATATCAGAGAAGCGTTTGAATGCAAAGTATTGAACACACCCCTCTTAACAAAGGTTGTGAAGATAAGTTTATCCAATTCACATCTATCCTTACTCCGAAATTACTTAGAGAACTCGACGTCCTGAACTCAGGTACTATTTATGGTTTACTCTTGTTTTAGGTTGTTATCAATGACACCCTAGACTCTCATATACATCAAACATGCCTAGAAATGAAGGTTCATAACAAACGTGATGGACCTAACAAAAATAGATAAATAAACTGTGGGCAATAGACTAAAACGTAAGCTGCCAAAATGACGTATGATGCACAATAAACCTTATGGGTTACAATCAACTTAATTTCTCCACAGAAACTCGCTACTGATTGTCTTCTCATAGTTATATCTAAGACTGGTAGCCACAGACTACTTGGACACCAGCTCACATTGTGGATAGACCCAAAAAATGTGTAGTTCACTATCTACGAGTACAACTCGATCTAATCACCCTTAAATTAATTTTTAAATCCTAGAACGCACTCATGACTTCACTCAAAAGTTCACAACATTTTCCTATTGTTGACTTTAAGCTCGGCTAATTATCACGTGATTTATTCGTCAATCGAAATATTATTTATTTAATCTTAGTACTATAACAAATCAATGACGTTCGACGGGTATGAACAACCTAGTGTCCTTATTAGTCCTTCTTCCTCCTAGCCCTGTTAGTTGAATCCAGAACAGCTTTCACTATGCGAATCATTTATTTCAAAATACTTGGTCTATATACCAGCCAAACAAAACGCATCACACCATAAAATAGGAAATAACATCTATACAAGATCAGGCTAAAAAGTGTCTGTGAACGTAAGTTTGTCTGCTCTCATTGTCTATATGATTATTTAATTGACTTTCTTATTTATTTACTTCATGAAACAGTTGTCTTCTCCTAGCATTCAAAATTTCTATTTATTATTTTCCGTATTGGAACCAATCAACCTCGTATATAGTAATGTGACAGCTATTGATTCCAGAAACATTACTGCCTTGAGACAAACTCACTCATTCAAACTACAAGATAACCAAACCAACAAACAACTGTCAGACTGATTTGAACTAATGAAGTCAAGTGGCTTAACCACCATTCGCTAAGCATCACTGAAGATCTGAAACCTCACCAAACTAATGGGAAGTTAGCACAGGGAAGTCAATCAGTTTGTTAAAGCTCGTAATGAAATTAGCATGCATTTAATTATATTAGAAATACATGATACTGGGACAGCCGTTTGTTTTATGATTCCTTTAATAGTCAAGAAATTGGCTTACTGAATTATACTCAAATACCTAGTAAATAAGTAGTTGACAATCACTTCTAGGATTGTTAAGGTGGTAAGACAAGAAAAACTGATACAGGCTATTAAGAGATATGAACAATTTATCTCAGTAGAATAAATTTCCAAACGGCTTGTGGTATTGTTCTATGAACAAGTCGACTAAGTTGGACGTCGTATTAGCTATCAATCGTCTGCTCAAGAGAAATCCATCTATTCTAAAACCATTAGTCAGAATCCGAGAAAAGCTAGCCGAGTCCCTTTTTATATTTTTGATATTCAAATTCAAAAATACATAAATTTTAGGTCTTAATAAGTAAATAAGTGCGATCTGCATGATATCAAACTGATTAATTAACCACTTAGTTTTACAAAATAAAAAACTATCAAAGGTAGAAAAATAACTAAAATGATTTTTACCGAGATGTTTATTACTAAATAAACGAAAATATTATTCCACTGGTTGGAATCATGAGTCAATTGAAGCTAGACCACCATGGAAAACCTGGAAGCACTGGACGGCCGTTTCGTCCTAGTATGGGACTCCTCAGCAATGCGCATCCACGATCCCGCCCCCCTCGCGGGTGGTCTAGCTTCAATTGATTCATGATTCCAACCAGTGAAATTTCTAAAATCTCCACAAAACCCATTCTGAAAATATTATTATGCGCTTTGGTATTTTTTGAGATTTGAATCTTGTCACAACATAATCAACTTCCTAACCATTATCAGGTGTCACTTTTATAAGAAATCTACAATTAAACATCCACATGAATTTTCGACAGGATCCTAATTGAGTTGGGAACAATTATTAAAGACCGTATACATGCTGACAACACTAATTATCTTTATAAATTTTGTTACGTCTTGTTCAATCTAAATTAAGACCTTGACGTGATAGGCTGACTGGCTTAAACTTGAGGCTAGTATGTGTGAGTTTGAAGTGAGACTAACTGCTTGGGGTAGAGAGATGAAAACTATTCTATCATCTGACTAGCTGATAGGCACGCGAGTGAGAGAAGACACATCAACTGGAGCATTACACGATTTATTTCCAAACTTAGCATATACCAAGTAACCTGATTCACAACGCATTCGAAATGGAGAAATGAAGTTCTCAAATGTCTGTAATCTATCAAGTTCAGTTGGCAAACAATAATCTTAAACAAATTATGATTGGTTTTCTGAATAATCATTCTACATAAGTATACTGATCATTGGGGTGTACCAGTGCCAATTTGTTTAGTCCTTAGTGTTAGTCGAGTCCTACTGACCAAACTTCAATTTGTTTATTAGTTGAAGTAACTCGACCTTATGTATTGATGTTAGGTTTGCGCTAAAGACTAAACAAACATGACAATGACTAATAATCGGAAAATAGTTAGTGTAACTGACTCAGTCCTACAGGATATCTGCCACTAATCAAATAAACGTAGATGAGTATGCTTTTTAATACAATATATTCTTCAGAACAACACTATTAGCATAAAATAAAGCTTTGCAAGCAACAGTTGGGTTGCAAAACATAAATGGGATTTCAAAAATAAAAAAATTTCAATAACATTTAGAAGGAAATATAACTTTTAGTAAAGTGTATAAAGTGTGAAGTAACTAAATTAACAACTTATTACTTAATCACTTCAGGATCATTTGGCCAGTGCCCAAAGCTAGTCGGTTGGTGACAAGGTAGTGAAATGTTGAAAAGTATCATTATAAAACAAAATGTACACTGCCTGTATAAAGATTGTCTTTATCATCTTTAAAGATTAACTTTGGCTAAAAGGTGTGTCAAAATCACTTGAATATGATCACAATTCGGTAGACAATGGTTACTTATATAATAGTGATAGTAACAGTTTCGCTATTAAACTCTGAGGATGAGAATAAACGTTGATTGTCTAGAAAGGCATAAACTGAATTGCCACAGTTACTATGATTATTTATTAATGATGTTTTTGTAATATGTCAATTTTACAAAAATAACTGTTTATCTTTAATGACTACTGAAAACAATTAATAGTGACATTTTCGTGTATATTTAGTCATATAGGTCAAGTTTGTGCTAGCAGATGCTCATTATAAACTAAAACTAAATAACCATACACTACAAGCAAAGAGAGATAGTGGCTAGCAGTGTAATCCAGGACTCCCGTTCCGTCCCATTTGAGACTCGTCAGCTGGATGTACCTACACCTCTGATGTTAACTCTGGGACTCATACCCAATACCGTTTGCTTCAAACGCCATCGCGTTGTCCACTTAATTTCTGAGTCCTGATAGCTACTAGCTTGTGTAATCGTGTAAAGTTTAAATTCACTTGGTATTATTTTACTTGAATCCTCTCATTGATGTTTAGAACTGCAATCAGTCAGTCTCTTATTGACATATGTGCATCATGTGCATACTACCTTGATATTGCCTTCATTCACAAGCATTATAGGCATTATATACACTACTCTTTGATATCAATTAAATTTTCCAGATAATATCAGTTTATGGTTAAAATCATTTCACCATTAATAAAAATTAAACAAATCCCTTTCCCCCAGATAGATAGATATCCGAGGAGTCCCATAATAGGACGAAACAACCGTTCACTACTTTCAAATTTTCAACGGTGATCTATCTATATATTGATAAATCTTGTAAATTTAAACGCTTTATTCGGTTCCTAAGCTATTCTGGTAACCCGCAATCTAGAAGTACGCAGCAACCTGGACTCGAGAGAAAGGTGCAAAGTAAGCAAAAAAAAACACTTTACTCCAAAGATCCATTTTTGTACCGAAAAACACGGATATTTATAGATGTTCATATCTGTTAAATCAACATCATATTTTGGCCAATCCGCTAAAAGACATATTATGCTACTGACCAACAGTAGCATACCACATTGATATTCTAGAAACCTCCATCATGTTCTGATTGGCTAGAACTCTTCGGCTCCTTTAGGGCCTTTGGAGGCTCGATTGCAGTTTTCAGAAAGCTGACTCAACGTATATCAGATAAACTTATTGCATAATTCAAATTAAAAAAGAAACCAAAACAAAAGACACCATGATAAATATGTGTATATATGTGCCGATTATTTATTTAATATTAAAAAAAAGAAAGAAAAGTTCTTAGTTAATACTGTGCATGACAAATAAATCATGGTGCTTAATACAAAAGAAAACACAACGAAATATATGCATATGATTCTCATTGAAAGTGATCAATTATGAATAATGATGATTAGTGATTGAGTGCATACCCAAGTCAAATACAGTAATAATAATAAACTAGAATAATCATAATAATAACAATGAAGATATGTGTATATATTAAATAGAGCAAACAAATTAAAACAAAAAAACAATTTATCAAAATGACCTACAAATATTGATAATTGAATAGTGTGAATTATATTTTCGAGGTAGAAATAAATTTAATGAATTCATATTTACTTCTTTTAAATTTGTGATATAATCTAAGTTATTGTATACTACTTAAATTCTGAATCTACAGTAGATGTAGAAAGTTATTATAAGTAGTATAATTAATTATATTAAATACAAGTTTCTACTTTTTTTAATACTAAACATTGTTGACATTCAACACGACAACACCATATAAATTTACAATGACATGATTCCATAATATAATAATGATGTGTTATATAACCTCGACCACAACATAAATGATGACAATTATTCATATAAATTGAAGATGAATTACATAAACGACCTTTTGTACCTAATATATGATAAAATGAATTAGAATGACAAAACAATTTCTCATTTATTAATTCATAATAAACTAATTGGGATAAATGTGGATGTATTGAATGATTCATTAGTTCATTGGATTTAGTTAACATGGATGAATGAATAGTTGTTGTTGTTGTTGTTTTTGTTGGGTTTATAATAATCAAATTGGATTTTTTGGGAGTTTTCTTTACATTATTAGCGTTTCTATCATAATAGTCATTGGATATAGATGATAATATTGGGGTTAATTGTTTTTTCATGTTTTTCTGATAAGGTATAAATTTGATAGCTTTATCTAAATATGAATGTTTAAAATGGTTTGATGTAGAGGAAGAGGTCTCTTGCTTATCTTCGTATGTACTACGGGTTGGTCGCAGACTACTGGAATCTAAAAGTAAAATTTTGTAAGAAGTTGTTATGATAGATAGTTAGATTGGATACAAATATAAAATATATGAAAGTTTACTGATCTTCTACTTTTATTGCTAATGCATTTAGTAATAGTGTTGTGTGGGTTACTTATATCCACAGAAGTAGTATATAACGATGGTTAGGTATAGAATGTATTTCACTAGAACGTCAATGAAGAAAGAACGGGAACGGAAAGCAGTTGATATGAAAATGCATGAACAATAAAATCTGAGACAATGGATTGGTGTTTGCAACAGGAACAGTCACGTTTGATATGATGGATTGATATTTTGCAAATTAACGATTTATTATATGGTTCTCAGATTTTATTGAGATGCTCTGTAATTTCGTGACAAACACTATTCGATTGTCCCTACTGCTGTTATCGTTCACTACAGTAGTGATTTCGAGACACATTGTTTAAGAATACTATACTTTTATATTGTTGTAAAGTCACTTTGTTCAAATGAAATATTTCACAGACTAGAACATATAATTACATAGATAAGGTGTGAGCTATGTTTACGACAACATCAGTCTTATCATGAAATCCCTAAGACTGTGCTTATCTTTAACCGTACTTACTTTTAGCGGGACATTATACAAGCAAATAATCGGAGTAGCAATGAGATTCCCTGTGTCCCGATTGTAGCCAACCTGATTATGTCACATATATAATCATACATTTTCGCTAATGACATTAAACCACGAATTTGGTTCACATATGTAGATGACACTCTTGTAGTCATGAAAAAAGATTCACCCAACTTCTTTTTCTGAACTAATCAAAACACTTTCGTATCACATTAAATTTACATACCAGAATGAAAATGAGTACGGTGAACTACCTTTTTTAGGCAGATTTGCTAAAAGAAATCTAGATGGAGTTCTAAATCTAACTATCTACCGAAAATTAACTCACTCAAATCGTCATATAGACTTCAAATCAGCACATTTGTTTAGTGCAAAAATCCCGCTAGCCCTAAATCTATTTCAAAGAGCAAACAAGATTATTACATCTGAAGAGAATAAACATAAGGAATGAAAGCACATGATTAATACTTGCAATTTAAAAATTTTCCTATGATGGTCGTTAAAATGAGATATTTTACTGTTAAATGATAATCCGAATGAAATATCATAGATTGGTACTACAGTCTTCCTACACCGCCGTAGCACGACAGATGAACTTCAAAGAGTCTTAAAACAACAGCGAATTAAAATACATTACAAAACAACGAAATCCCTTCGAAACATTTTAGTTCCTTCTTATGTCAATACAGAATTAAGTCTACAAATTAGGATGTGTCCATTGTGATGCATTCTATATTGAACAGTCATCTTGTGAAATATTGACTCGAACCAAAATTCACTTTAAGTACACAAAAAACCACCGAATATTCCCATAGAACTGGAAACATTCAAAATTAATTCGGCGATAACAGTCCATGTCATTTTCAATAACAAACAAGTAGATAGTAAAAACATCAAAATAATACAAAGAGGATTTTTCAACTACAAAGAAAGGTAAGTAGCTGCAGCTTTCCATTTATTGCTTGATCCCACTACCCTCAATAGAAAAGAACACCTCACTATCCATCCGACTTCAACCATCCATCCATCAGAGCTACTATATTTGATTCTACTCACATCTCACACCATTAACAAACACAAAAATTCATCTTTATCCCTTCTCACCACAAATGTTACACGTTTCATCCTTTAACATACATACATACATACATACATACATACATACATACACAAATATGCAAACATGTCTCACATAAATCGCCTTGACCGGAATGACATGGCATTGACTTGGTCAGACCAGTTTCTTGGTTGATTTCACCAAATATTCTTGCTCGTTCTCTTGTACAATTTAAACTTGAGTTAATTTAACTTTTGTCAGAATGGGGTTTGTGGAAATTGTACTAATTTAATGGCTGAATTCATGAGTCAGTTTAGGCTAGACCACTATAACGGCCGTTTAGTGCTTCCAGGTTTTTCAGGGTGGTCTAGCTCAGATCAACTCATGAATTCAACCATTAACTTAATATGTTTATTTGTTCTTTGAAGAAGTTGCTTACACTGAGTCGCGAAACGTCAGAAAATTTAAAAATTTAATTATTCTACTTATTGTGATATTACAAATGTATTATTTTTATGTGTTTATAGCATTAATAAATAGTTTAAACAGTAGGTTACTTTGCTACAACTACTGTGGACAACTTCCAGTTGTTATATATCCAGTTTAATAACCAAAAGTATTTATCTATGGATAGACCGGATTGGTTTGGACTGAAGATTATAGGACTGTCTCCAACACCCATAATGACAAATCTTCCATCTCTGTTAACATGTTCTCATGTACTGAATGAACTATAGAAAATTTCTTTTTTCAATTTTCCAAACCGGAGCATTACAAACACAAAATGGCCTAATGTTTAAGTACTCGCCGCTATACGTAAAAGTCATGAGTTCTGCTCCCCGAAGACATCGTAGATGTGCATTCCTGAAGAGTTCCAGACTAAGACAAGACTAATATCTAATATTCTATAGTTTTCAATGGTACTTCGACTGAGATTGGTCCGTGACGAATACCATCTACAAATTAAGTGGACTTCTATAATCGCTTCATGAAAAGTATGATGTCTCATTAGCCGAACTATTCGCATCAAAATATTAATTATGATTGTTTGAATTCTGGATAAACATATAACGATATGTGTTGGAAACTTGACGATAATCTAACTAAGCTTAATTATATGAAATATTCCTATCACTAACAATTTTATTCATTGTCAGTTGTGTCAGTAATGTAGAATTAAGGACAATTACGAATAAAACGTTCTTTCCAAACATCGTCCTGCCCGGCTGTCGAAAGAATTCATGAAGTTAGTTAGCAGTTTAACACTGAAACATCTCGTAAATTATAGACACATAGCTCCACAAGAAACCGCTTTCAAAGTCATCCATGTAAATCAAATAATTTGGCTGTAAGACAATACAAAAATTAAGACTTATGTACAGAAAAAGCCTTAGAAATTCATTAATTCAAACCCCATCTGTGTGTACAAAGATAACAGGTTCAATCACTCATATTCTATCATAGCTTTACCCCCCCCCCTCATTCTATATTCCATTCTTAATCTATCATCTGTACTACTTTTTTTTCAAATTTTCCTTAATTACTGATAAACTATAATCAAAACGTTGAAGTATTTGATCATCCACATTCATCAAGTTGACAATTATCTCGCGACGACAAACTATCACCATAGCGACGTGTTTCACTCTCTGATAGAGATTTTTGAAAAATTAATGATACACAAATTCGTTAAATAAAACGATACTTGTGTGTTTTTTATTGTAAACTAATATGAGCCAAAATTCATTATAAGTACTATTATACAATTCGCTAAATTTTCTCTAATTTTCTTCCACTTCATTCAATTATCATAGATGAATATGTATCTTGTAGTGTTGAAATAATTTTTTCTGGTTAGCGTTTTTTTAACGAGTTATTTGGGGTCGCTAACTCCATGCATAACCCTCCTCCTTTATCCGGGCTTAGGACCGGCAGTAGCCCCGTAGGGGCTCCAGGTGGTGTTGAAATACTTTGAAAATTAAACAAATGGAAACATAAACTTGTCTTGGATATTTATAACAATCAAATATGATGTCTGTAGTTGTAGTAATATGGAAGATTGGTCAGCATTTAGGTCAGAGAGTTAGTCTGATGATGCTTAGATTATTGATTCAGATATTTTTATTAGTCAGATTTCCTTTTGAGAAACAATAAATAGTTTCCTATTTATGAAGTATTAAATGCTAATTTACATAAACAATAAATGCCTATTATATCTCACCTAGTTTAACTTGTACTAAATCATGATCATATATATGTTTTAACAAAGTTCCAAGTGTTCTCATTCGTGGTGTTCTTCGATAACAGGTTCTTAAGGTACACGATCCACTTGTTCCATGGCATCGACAATAACGTTCCATATTTTTAATAACTAACTAAAAATAAAACAAAACTAAGTTTAAGTTAAAACTGTGTAGGTATTTAGATACATTTAAACAACTGGAAGGTGATAAATGTTCAATAATAATAACTCAAAAGTATAAAAAAAAATGAATTGAAAGAACTGTGTGATACTGATAGAGTTTATTAACATCATTTATTTTATTTCTGACTTCTTATCTGAACTTTAGTGAGTACTGAAATTATGAATTCCGTAACCTAGTCTCAATATAAAGGTTAACCCTGGGATCCAGGTATATTTAACTGACTTGTCCTAAAGAGGATAAAACCTACATTCTAGATTTTACTACTAGCCACAATCTATCTGTTTGAAAAAAACATTCGGTTAATGTTAGCAAACTTTGTTCTATGTGAAGTTGTTTGCTTGTATTTTCCCATTGATGTTTAGGACTGAAATTGACCAATCTCTTGTTGGCATATGTGCATAATATGAGTATTGCCTTAGGTCAAAAGCTTCATGAGCAATGATAGATGGTGACTAGCAGTGGAATCCAGTTTGACGCGCGTTTCGTCCTACTTGGGAATTGTCAGCTGGATGTACCTGGATCCCAGAGTTGATGTTCAATCCGGGACTGGAACCCAGTACCGTTAGCTTAAAACCACCATCTATCTTTGCTTATAGAGTTTATGAATTAAGACAAGATTGAGGAACATATGCCAATAAGAGGCTGACCAATTTCAGTCTTAAACATTAATATGAAAATACAAGCAAACAATACCAAGTGAGTTTAAACTTCACCCGATTGCACAAGCTAGTGGCCATCAGCACTCATAAATTAAATGGATAACTCGGTGGCGTTTGAAGTGAGCGGCATTGGGTACGAGTCTCTAAGTGAACGTCACCTCAGAGATGCAAGTACACCCAGTCCCGACTAGGACAAAACACGCATCCTGGATTCCACTGCTAGCCACCATTCATCATTGTTCTATGCGGTTAAAATTCTATGATTTGTTAACTTTTTGGTGGAAGAGTTTGTATTTATAAAAGAAAATAGTTTTGTACCAATAGGTTATCGCATTTCCGTGTTATTTCAGAGGTAAGATTTGAAATTTCATAGTTTGTATGTCACTGTTATTGAAACCAAATCGCATTACCCTCAAATGCAAAGTTCAATAGATCTATCTGAATACTCTTGTTTTCGTTAGCTTTTCATAGAAAGTATAGAGAAATAGCTCTTTAAAAATATCACAGCATAATGAGGTTATATACATGCATTACTGACTCATTACAACATTGGAAACTTCAAACATGAGAATTAATTTGATAGTTGAATTCATGAGTCAATTAAAGCTAGACCACCATGGCAAACCTGGAAGCACTGGACGGCCATTTCGTCCTAGTATGGGACTCCTTAGCAGTGCGCACCCAAGATCCATAATTAATGTTAGAATACCTGTTGTTTATGTACCTACTAGGTTAAAGTATCAAATGAAGTATCTTTACTAAGATTTGTTTACTTAGTTTAGTTGTCTGACCAAACGATCAGAATCACCTTATAGAGTGTCTTGTTAAATCCTTAAATTATTGCGTAGTGTTGCTTCCTTTCAGTGGCTTCTTTAGCCACTGATATACTAAATGTCAATACAACAATAAATTAGTCTCATAAATACTATTATTCTGCATATATATTGTCAAAAAATATGTGGCAAACATGACAGTTCAGTAATTTATAACTTAATTTTGAAACTTACTTGTCGACCAACACCATTATTATGTAAATTCATTTCAAATCTTATATGTGAACCACGTTCCATTGTATCGAGTAAACGTCGTGAAAATCTTCTACCATAATGAATATTATGATCACATCCTTGCCATTGCCAATCTGAAAATGGTTCTTGTCTACCTCGATTATTACATGGACAATTATCGATTTGATTTAAACATGCTTCAGCTACAGATTGAACTATTCCAGCATTGATAATTGAATAAATAAATGCAGTTTGTGGTATACCTTAAGATAAAATATGATAGTGTTGTATTGTATATGTGTATTAATACACTCCAAACTTCAATTAATTACTATGATTTCTTTCATTCATTTAAGAAATAGATTTCTGTAAATTTTACTAAACACTTAAAAAAGAGAATCATGGAGTCACAAAACTAGCTGAAATAAATTATCAGAAGGGGGTTTAGTGGAGTTTGTAGTAATTTAATAGTCGAATTCACAAGTTATTTAAAGCTAAACCACCATGGAAAACCAAGAAGTACCGGGTGGCCTTTTCTGTTAACAGTCACCATGTGCTAAATGGTAACTGGATTCAAGAGTTATTTCTTGGAGTTCTATTGAGCAGCCGTGACCAGTGGAATTCAACCGTGTCTGTTGTGAGATAGTAACTCACTGAAGACAATGGTGAATATGTAGCTGGATTTCGTGGATTGGTTGAAGTTAGACATTAACACCACTGGATGCTGGCTCAATGGTCTGTGGGTTAACCGTTGACATGTGAGATCGAAGCTCCTGGGTTCGAATCCCACGAGTGGGATCGTGAGTGCGCACTGCTGAGGAGTCCCATACTAGGATGAAACGGCCATTCAATGCTTCCAGGTTTTCAATAGTGGTCTAAAATTGATCGATTAATGATATCAATTAGATCTCAACAATCTCCTCAACCTCATTCTGATAATCACAGTATTCATGCCATCCTAAATAAAGTATCATCACAATAGGATAACAATCAATATCGTAAAATATTCTGTATATAAGTGTATGATTTCATTATATAAAATCATTCATATTTTGCTGATAGACTATTCTATCCTCTGACATCACTTCATAGTAAAAATTGATGCATGAATGGGATTTCTAAGCAATCATTACTCGATCGTAATCAAGCCAAGAGACTGAAATTCTAATCAGCATCAGTCAAACCTAAGTCCTTCCATTTTAATAGATAAATATGCTATAACACTGCATGATTTGATCAATAGATTTTAAACACCGGTAAAAACCCTAAAATACGATTGACTGATGTCTAATGATGAATTTAAGTGTATAAAATTCAGTCTTACTGATAACTGGTTATAGTTTAACTAACTTAGTAGTGACACTATCCATTTGCTGATGTGCTATATAACGTAGATCAGAATCCTTCAGACTACAAACCTAAAGTGTCAAGGAAACCAAGATTTTGGTAGAGAAACATCTGTAAAGTGTAAATTGTTGGTGTTTGTTGACATTCATTAGCTAATAGTCTTAGTGATTTTTAACAAATTCTTATCACTCAATGCTACAATCACAGACATTACCATTTAGCCGAATACTATTAAATGAAGTGCTTGATTGTCTTAAACTCAAATTTTAATATATTTCCAGTTCCATATGATTTTCGTTTGATTAAATTCGAAATCTTACTTTTTACTGATATGATAATTTTATCGATTAAGAGGCTTTCTTAAAATCCTACTGATTGATTTTAAATCTATTCGAATAAAATGTTCTTTTTTTCCGAGATGGAATAATCCCTCACAATCTGATAAAACAAAGATGTTTTATTTTTTGTTGTTGATTGAAATCATGAGTCAATTGAAGCTAGACCACCATGGAAAACCTGGAGGCATTGGATGGCCGTTTCGTCCTAGTATGGGACTCCTCAGCAGTGCGCATTCACGATCCCACCCGTGGGATTCGAATCCTGGAGCTTCGATCTCGCATGCGAACGGTAAACCTACAGACCATTGAGCCGGTATTTAGTGGTGTTAATGTCTAACTTCAACCAATCCACGAAATCCAGCGACATATCCACCATTGTCTTCAGTGAGTTACTATCTCACAACAGACCCGGTATTTTAGAAATTATAAAACAATGAACCATTACTCACTGATAATCTGTTACGTATTAGGCTGTCTAAGTTGTCTGTCCAATTAATAATAACTTTAACTTACAAACATATCGATATTATCAGTCTTATTTATTTCAGAGTAATTACGGTCGATAACAGTTAAACTGTTCAATTTCTCTTTGTTTCCCGAGGTTAAGATCTTCAACCACCTTATCAATAGTATTCTAAGTTTTGTCGTATTCTAACAGTGTTCAGACTCCTCATCAACATATTCCAAAGAGCTATTTCCCTTAGAAAGTTATCTCTATACACATCTCTTAGGAGTTTGTGTTTTCTGAGTTTTCCCAAAGTTTTAATAAATATTTAATCATAAATCATTTCTCCATGTATTTATTTATCACCATCATGATCTATAACGAAAACAATATCAACTCCAATCCATTTTTATAGGATTCATATGTTTGAATAATCATCTGTTTCTAATTGACGTTATTGCTACAGGGATAGTTATGTCCATAAACTAGGAAACAATCTTAATATATAAGATGTTACTGAACAAATTGCATATAAATCAAATGTATTGTTAGAAAGGTATTAAAAAGATACTGTATTATCATACTATGTAAGTTCAATAAATCAGTGGTTTAGAGATTAAGCATTCTCGCGTAACCGAAGGTCCTAGGTTCGAGTCTCGCGTTCAAGATCGTGGATATGCACTGTGGAAGAATCCTATACTGGGATGAAAGAGTCGTCCAATACTTCCAGGTTTTTGATGGTGGTCTAACTTAGATCAACTTGTGATTTCAACTATAATAATACTACAATCTTCACAAATCCCTATACTGATAACAATTTATCTAGGTAAAAAATTAACAGATACGTTTAAAATATTGAAATTCTTTATCATTTAAGATAATAACAGTAATGAAAATATCATGAATTGTGAATTTTGTTTTCATCATTGATTGGTGTAAATTGGGAAATAATTAAGATCAGAATGGGTTTTGTGGAGATTTTTAGAAATTTCACAGGTTGAAATCATGAGTCAATTGAAGCTGGACCACCATGGAAAACCTGGAAGCACTGGACGGCCGTTGGATGCAGGCTCAGCGGTCTAATAGTTAGGCGCTCGCGCGCTAAACCAGTAGGTCCTGGGTTAGGGTCCCGTGGGGTGCGGGATCGTGGATGCGCACTGCTGAGGAGTCCCATACTAGGACGAAATGGCCGTCCAGTGCTTCCAGGTTTGTCATGGTGGTCTAGCTTCAATTGACTCATGATTTCAACCTGTGAAATAGTTAAGAATCAAAGAAAACCGAATATCACTCACTGCCTACTTAGTTATTTATTAATGAGACAACAGATGGAGAATATTCTTTTCTCTGGTGAAACAATTACAGAGCTGAATCAGAGTAACAGTAATGAGTTTATACAGGTTATAATTCATAGAAATGTTTCATAAATAGTAACTTAATTATATAACATCTTGGATATATCAAATTCAAATTCGAAAAATTCTATTCTTACCTTTCAGTAAAATGTTTCCAAATAAAGCAGTTTCATCATCAAGCACTTGACTACAATTCCATCTTTCATGCCGAAACTGATAACGACATTCAGCTACTGCACGTCTTACACCAACTACTGCAGCTTCAAATAAAGCAAGATTAAATTTAGCCGGTGCATTCATTCGACTGCCAATAGTTGTAGAATCATCTGTTAAAAATTGTTTCCATTGTTTTGGTGATAACCATTGTTTGTAACGTTGTATACGTTGTCTGAGATGATGTTCTATCCATGCTGTATTATGTGAGATAGGCTATAGATAAAATTAGAAAAAGGCAGATTTATAAAATTATTAGGAAGATATTATCAACATTGGTTTGTTCACAATTACATCAAGCTCATATACTACATAATAATTACAGTGGTCCATTTATATTCTTTAGTTTGTTAGATTCAGGAACTTGATTAATATGAAAACGTTTTAAATCAAATCAACAAAAATCTAGAACTGGTGTGAATTTTCGCTGTAGTTTTCAATTCATCTGTTCACCATTTATCAGTAAATTGATTGGAGGTTAACAAATATTTAATAATTTAATAGTTGAGATCATGAGTCAATTGAAGCTAAACTATCATGGAATACCTGAAAGCACTGGACGGCTATTTCGTCCTGTTGTGGAACTCTTCAGTAGTGTGAGTTCACAACCCCGCCCCGCGAGATTCGAACCCAGGAACTATCGGTTTCTTGCGTGAACGCTTAACCTCTAGACCACTGAGCTGGCCGGCATCCAACGCTGTTAATGTCTAACTTCAACCAATCGACAAAATTGAGCGACATGTCCACAACTGTCTTCAGTGAGTTACTATCTCACAACAATATTTAATACATTGTTAGTGTACATGATCCCAATATACAAAGATTCCATGTAAGGCATAGTTTAATGTAAACATTCAGGCTCCCCACTCAGTCACTACCATCCATTAGTTTTGATCAAGACTCTAGGACGAAGTTGTACAACGCGATCATTAATCCATCACCGTTGGATGTCCTAGTGTCAAGGAGTTATTCATAACAATTAGGCAAAATAAGTCAACTTCACATGGAGTTTTTTTTAATTTTTTAGGCCCGTATTTATATTTTATAAATAAATCCCATCTAAATTCTGGTGAAAACTTATTTCCTACGTATTTCAAACTGACAGTGTTTATTTTGACAAGTTCAAAACTAATCCCAACCAAGCATTTGAACCGAAACATTTAAATAAGTTTACTTTCGAAATACATCAGTTCACACTTAACCTACATTTTTCATGGTATTTACAGTAGTTAATTAAAAGAAAGAAGTTTAACCTCGAAAGTTTACTATGGTCGTAGTGTATAGGTATAAATATCATACTAAATGTTCGCCGTTTTATTTAAAATATCACGTCATAAAAGACAATTGAAAATAGAACAAACTTACATCGAAAATCTGTCGTCTCCATCCATAAACTGACGGATGGTTTTGATTATTATTATTATTATTATTGTTACTAGAGCCAGCATGAATTTCATGGTTCACATACGGAACAATTTGTCTTTCATTCTGATAATTTAATCCTGGTACATTATTCCATGGTATCATAGTTTCTTCATTCATTGCACTAGATGGTGATTGATTGTTTTCAGCATAAATTTCAATGATTGGATTATATAAACTCCGTGAATTACCAGACAGAGTTAATGGATGTGAATGTAAAAGTTTAGCTATCGTATCTAACCTACAAATAGATAATAAAATGTTCTTATAATATTTGTACTACTCACAAGTAGTTAAATATTTTCGTATAAATAAATACGTTGGTCATCATTCTATTAAAAATATTATTTACTTATTTCAAACGATAATGATCTATGGCTCTGTCGACAAAGTTTTTCACATCTATGGTACCTTTTAGAGAGGACTATAAAAATAAACCGTTTTGAGGTGTGTTAAAAAGAGCCTTAACATTCCTTTGAAAATAATCAATTACTAATTAAAATGTAATCTGTCTACGTAAATTATGATCTATACTAAATAGGCATAATGTTTTGTATCCACAGTCACTAGATTGCATCAAACACGCAGGTAATGAATTCTCATAGTTGAATAGTTTATTGGTGTAGATGGTCCACGGAAAATGTGTGACCATGTTAAGTATATATATATAAACTGAACTTAGCCATAGCCTAGAGGACGGACATTCTACAACCGTGTCATTATTCGATCACATTTATAACTCTACAATCAATTCAATCTATTCACAGAAGATTATAATACATAACATTCAACTGCATTTCTCATGATTAAATTGTTTTTACAACAGACTTCAGATAAAATGTGAATATTTCCCAATGATATTATGTTATTTATCTAATATACTGTCATCTCTCTCTCTTTACTTAAATGTAATACATACATCATATTGTATGATGCATATCTAGTTGTTTCTATCTAATAAATTACATTAAATGTAAGAAAAAAAAACATACATATTTACAGGAAACAAAGCTAAGAAATTAATTCCCTAATGAAGTAAATTTCAGAATAAATGAAGAGTATAGTTAGATAATATAGAGATGTATATAATATTCATCTGTTCATCTGTTTATAATATTTCTGTATACACTATATGATTATTCAAGTATAAATATACATAAAAATATTATTCTCTCAGCATACAATAATATACACATTGTCTGCCCCCCCCATATGAAATAACATAGAGACAAGTAAACAAAATATGAAACAGTCAAATTAGTTGTCCAGTCAGAGCCTGTCAAACTTGTCAAATTGATTTATTAGTTCATCATCTACTGTCAAATATCTCAACAAGAGGAAAGGGGCATAAAACATTTTTTTATTCACTGGAAAATATTGTAATCTCTTTTTAATATTACCAATACTACTATTATTATTATTATTATTACTATTATAAGGTGCATTGTATATAAATAAGGCAGAGATAATCCAGAATCCTTATGCTAATTTCATCGACTTATTTCATGTTTATTTTGATTCGAATTTTCTTTTCTTTTCTTTTTTTTTTAGTTTTTTTTTCATGGTAAAATGGTGAATTTTCTTACTGTTGGTATAATCTAGTGTCAATGCTTGTTTATTTGTCTGTTATAGTTCAATCATATTCTTTATTGTAGCATTGTTGATGTCACTATTGAATTGATCTTTCGATTTTTTTATTCTTTCCCATTTTTCTTTCTCTTTTTTTCTTCTTCTTTTCTAACAAGTAAATAACAGTGTTGATTTTTAATTATTTTCATTAGAATTATGCATAAACGTTTATTGATTATTTGAGAATTAATCTTATGTACTTAATAATTATGGGCAGCATCATTGATGAACAGGGTGGATCTGATGCAGATGTGAAAGCGCGGATCGGAAAAGCAAGAGCAGCATATTTACAACTGAGGAACATCTGGAACTCAAAACTACTATCAACCAACACCAAGGTCAGGATTTTCAATACAAATGTCAAGAAGTTCTACTGCATTGGGCAGAAACCTCGAGAACGACGAAAGCCATCATCCAGAAGATACAAGTGTTTATTAACAATTGTCTACGCAAAATACTTAGGATACGTTGGCCGGACACTATTAGCAACAACCAACCGTGGGAAAGAACAAACCAGATCCCAGCAGAGGAAGAAATCAGGAAGAAGCGCTGGAAGTGGATAGGACACACATTGAGGAAAGCACCCAACTGCGTCACAAGACAAGCCCTCACATGGAATCCTCAAGGCCAAAGGAAAAGAGGAAGACCAAAGAACACATTACGCCGGGAAATGGAAATAGACATGAGAAAAATGGACAAGAATTGGATGGAACTAGAAAAGAAGGCCCAGGACAGAGTGGGTTGGAGAATACTGGTCGGTGGCCTATGCTCCATTGGGAGTAACAGGCGTAAGTAAGTAAGTAACTTAATAATTAGGGTATGTGTATGTTCATGTTTGTGTGTGTGCACAATTGGCTAAAGTAATCGATTGTTTAGGATAATAAATGATTATGTATTTGAGAAAAGTGATATATCTGATGCTGCTTACTTCATTTCATTAGTAAACTTGAATTTAATGTTTGAACCAGTAAACAGCATTGTTTTTGATCCAGATCATGAATTGATTGATGTTAGATCACCATTGAAAACCTGTAAGCACTGGACAGTCGTATCGTTCTATTGTGGTTCAAATATCGTGGGCGGGATCGTGGATGCTCATTGCAGAGGAGTTTCATATTAAGATGAAACGGCCGTTTAGTGCTTCAAGGTTTTCAATAATGATCTAACAACATTCGATTCATGATCTCAGTCAAAAACTTTATGATCTCCACAACCCCATACTGTAAACAGTTTCGTATTATACTTCTGTTACAATGATTTTGAATACTTTGAATAATTCACATACATAGCTTATTACGAAGTAATTAAGAACTGATATAGCCCCAAGCAATATGTGATACATCGATAACTTAATTAACAATTGAACTAGCCAAATATATCTTCGTAAAAATCTTTCGTTGAAGTATTTCCGTTATATGTGTTCTTAGCTGATTGATGATATTGGTTATGTTAATTAGTTTAAAAATGTGAAAAGAAGAATAGTTAATTAGTTTCTTAAAGAGAGCAAGAACGAAGACCCGAAGACCATCAAACAGCATTACGAAATATTAAACAAAGTGATGATATAATGGTCAGATAAAGGTTCAAGTGTTGTTCTAATGAACACAACAGATTATGCCTCTAATATGAAACTAATTTTAACTGACCATATGAGATGCAATTTAGATAAAAGTAATAAGGACTTAACTGATTTAACTGATAAAAGAATCAAGAAAGTACTCAGAGATCTCCTGAAGAACATGATAATCGATAATTCTCTGCACTAATCTTCATTCCTGCTCTCTTTAAGATAATAAAGGGAACTATGTGTATGTAATTAGTTTCTGATGGTCAACAAGTGAAAATATATTTAGTTCAAATAAAATAAATCCATATTTTCAATCATATACTGATTTACTTTAACAAGGGAACATTTATATGAATTATATAGCTTGTTCATATTTGAGAATAATGATTCATTGAATGAATAGGACTGAGGAATAGATTTAGGATTGTCATCAATAAACTAATTTACTGGTTATTGATGATACGCTCGCTCTTTGATGAATGGGTGACCTTTGATCCAGAGTTAATAATTTAATGAATGAAATGCCATGTTCAATTATAAAGTATGATTTTCCTGCAATATAACTCCAAGACCTATCGAAAACTCAACAAACTCTTCTCACCTTCATTCAATTCATAATAGTTTCAGAATTATTCCATAGTTGATATTTTTGACTAAATTTTGGTCAATCTTAGTATGTATCCTAAGCAAATTGCCTCGATATAGCTATTATGTCACAAGTTTTTATAGAATACATAGAATATGACTAGTAATGGAAAGTTTGCTCATGAAATCAGTCCTTTACTTCTAACCTATTAAACTTTGTAATAGTAAATCATTGGGCTGATAATTTGTTAGATAATCTCTCACTGATCAACAATAAAAACGATTATAAAATGATCAACAAAGTTCCGCTCTCTTCATGTCATACATGCACAAACACAGCATGTAGGAAAAAGAAAAATATGTTAATTACAATCTAAACGTGAATTTAGTATGAAGAGTAGAAGAGATTAAAAAATAATCACAAAATAGTTCATTTTTGTATTGTTTGTTTCAATCTTCCCATTGCAGTTTAGGACTGTAATTGATCGGTCTCTTATTGGCATCTGTGCATCTTAAGCGAATTACCTTGATAACGTCTTAAGTTACAAGCACTATGAAATAAGCACTACGGATAGTGGTTAGCATTGGAATCCAGAACACGCGTTTCATCCTATTTGTGACTCCTCAACTGGATGTACCTGCATTCCTGAGTTGATGTTCATTCCGAGACTCGTATCGATTAACGCAATCGCGTTATCTATTTAGTTACTGAGTTCTGATAGCCACTTGCTTGTATAATGGAATGAAGTATTAATTCATTTTTGGATTGTTTGCTTAGATCTGTTCATAAACTTAGTAGCTAGTGGAAAATGTGACAGCGTTTGAAGCGAACGGTACTGAGTTCAAGCCGCAGAATGAACAACAACTCAGATACAAGTATATCCACTTAAAGTCGATTAAATGAATCCAGCTAATGAAACATTATGAATAAGTTATAAAATACAATTCATAAGTTAAACTGAAGTAAAATAAGTAAAGAGTGGTAATTGTAGGCGGAATCATGAAAATAGGAAAGCATTATATAGAAACACACTGGAATATGTCCCATACTATGAAAATGTTTAAGTTATCCTGATAATGTTCAAGTTTTCCCGTGAAAACAAAAAACAAAAACAAATTTCTTTTAGCTAACTGAAATTTTATTTGGCTAGAAAACAACATAAAATCAACAACTGTTTACATATTAGGGTTATTTGTTACTTTGAAAAGTGTTATCATGAATAGCAGTAAATAATGATCATGACCATTTAACTATAGTCCCAATTGTTAACTGAGAGGTAAACAAATTTTCCTATTCTAATAAACTATCGTTCTATGAATCTGGTTTGTAAATATGGATAGTAATGACAATTAGTTATCAATATAAGGAACTGGGGTGTAAAGTGATTAGAGATTATTTCTGAAAAACTCTCAACCTGGGTTTTCTGGTAGTTGGCATTCTTCAACAAGGCGTACTTAAA